CCCGTGAACACGAACACGGGCTTGATGTGAAGTTTTTCGAGCGCTCGCAGGTCGGATTCGATGCGTGTCGTGAGTGCGAGAGGGAGGCCGCCCGTCGCGGCGAGGAGCGGCTCCCGGGAGGGCGGGTTGTCGATCAGCGAGGAGAGGTAGTAGGACGCATCGATGCCGAGGCGCGAGTCGGAGAGGACGGAGAGAGGGTGCGTTTGGAGATGCTTCCGCTCGACCAGGTAGTCTGTGTATGCGGACGCGGTGTGAGATGTGCTGCTGCTGCCGTTTGCACGCGCGGGACGACGACGGAGAAGAGGGTCTACTCACTGTCAAGGTGCTTGACGGGCATCACGGGCGACGAGGGGAGGGTGTTTTGCGTCGTGCGGAGGTTGTTGGACAACGCTCAGCGCAACGACCACCGACCAGAACCCGCGACGGTGTGCTTACGTAAGTCAATAGCCACCCTCATATGGACAGGAACGCTGGACGTCGTCTGCGTCTCTGTCGGTGCCATCTCCCATGTCGTGCTCACTGCCGTCGACAATGACAAGCCTGGTCTTCCCAATGCACTGCGTCTCGCCCAAGCATTGCTCCCTTGACCGATCCGTGACGCCTTAGCGGTTTCGCCGCCGACGAATCACAAGTCACTCGATGCATGTGGCAGGCAGCTGGGATTCCGTTCGACCGACCTCCGAGATGGTTTGACGGTAGCAACGCGGTAACAAGAACACACATGACTATATGCGTGCAAGACCGCCCGCTGGCCACTCGTTCTATCTGCGATTTGCAGCCTGGCGACCTTGGGGTTGCTAAACTTGCGTGCTCGTGAGAACGGTCCGTATGCCAAAATATCTTGCCGTCGCCCGTCGTTCTCACCGAATGCCATGCATGCCCGCGTTTGATCAGGTTCCTCGCCAGCGAGCGATGGCTCGGACCCTCGCGTTTGCGAATTACGTGCTGATGCTGCTCCAACGAAGGGCAACGAAGGGCATATGCGCGGCGTGCTCGCGTCCGCACTTTTGCGAGCGGAGCTGAGATGTGTCCGAAGGGTTGCATCCACACGCACCCAGTCCGCTTCGGGTCTGCTGGCTCCCCTCCAAGAGTCCGTCATCCACCCGAGGCACAGGGGAGGACTATCTTTGATGTGTGGTTCGTATTCTCAAGGTCTGACATGGTGCGTTCATAACTATCCTGGTATCGCGCGTCACAGGGGGCACGTTTGCAGGTCATCTAGGTTACCCTCCGGGGCTGGATATCCTTGCTTATGCCTCCGACAGGTGACTTGCTACGGTGGAACAATCCTATCCCAGAATACCCCCTACTGTCTTCTTGCGTGCCGGAAGTCACTGCATGGGAAGTATCCCACCTCGCATCCGATGGAGATATCAAGCAACCACAAGAAGACTGCACGGCCTGGCGTTGTTCGTCGTTTGAGGTTGACGTTCTTTCTCAGGATATACTGCTAGGGACATTGCTTCCATTGGACCTGAAGGCTCTTGGAGGCCTCCATTATGCGCGTTGTGAGAATAATCTCGTTTGCTGACATCGCTTGCCAGTCTCCTCATGCGGTTCCAGGTGATGCAACTCCCGCTCTCGGGAAAACGGCCGAAATCCGAGCAATCAGAAGCCACTCATTCCGACACCATGTCCTCGGTCCCGTAACTCGCATGCTTTCCGAGACTCCAAGGGAACGGCGTCGGGCGTACGAGGTCGCGACGCTGTCGGTGATCGCGAGAATTTAGTTTGTTGCAGCCCCGTGCTTCAGCTTGGCTGGCTGGGAGAAGATGAGTCCACGCTGTCTGGACGAAGCAGTGATGCCATGATCAACACGGGCTGGATCACTCTCGACTACTGTTCCGTGCTCCGGGCATACACAGGGCAGCCAGGTCAGGTCGTCCAGTATTCCTGAAGGCACCATGCACGTCGCTCCCATGTCAGCTCACGTCTCGGCGTCGTGCCCACCTGGTCCGCCGGCAAGTCTTTTCCAGCAACTCGTTTCCTACAAACATGCACACGTACTATTTTGGAAGGCTGCAACTCTATCCCCCAGGTTTGTACTTGGTGCTCTCACGAGAAGTCCGTGAGTACACTCCCTCTCACGGCAGGGCGCTTGCCTGATGATCCTACGTTGTAGGCAATGCCTGCGACAGGAGCGGCCTCCCAGGGCCCTCCTCCCCCACACCCCGCATTCCTACACTTCGACCGAGAATTCGACGACATTTCCATGGCAGTTACCCCGCACGCTCACGGTGGCCAAGACGAACTCGGGGGACATCTCACCGCCGTCGGTGGCTGAAGCCTGTGTGCTGCTCAGGAGAAGGTACCTCAGTCGAACTCTGCCTCGAGGGGAGTGGAGCTTTCTATCCTGGATGACTGCGATTACGGGCCCTCCTTCCTCCATCCGAGCCCGACAACGAGAATGTCAGGATTATCCCGATGACAGCACCACGAACTCAATCTTATGAATTCCTGCAGGCAAAGAATGCTTTCCCGGTATGTCTTCATGCTTGGAGCTCGCGGGGAGACAACCAGTTTTCTCAGTGGCCCTTCCAGGACGGGGAACATCGATGCCAATGCAGGAGATCGCTATCAGCAATGCTACCGTCGGACGGGCATTCCCATGCGTTGCTGCGCCCAGTGCGTCTCGGAGCGGTTCCGACCTCCCCACAACCGCACAGAGCTATTCGCAGCTCCGCCTCGCATTTGCACGCGTTCCTACGTGGTGGCATGATACTGCCATGCCTGCTGCGATGACCGCGGTTGCAGGATTGCCCGTAATCATGCGCTTCAGTCAAGCTTTCGCTCACACGGCTGCTGCAACCTGCTCCATGATGTAAGTCTGCTACCATGCGGCGGACGCTTTCCCCCAGCTCACTCATTCTCACGCACAGGACGAACGCACGGATGCGCTGCATTTGCCCAATATCGGCCGAGCGAGGTTAGATCCTAGCGCCGCGTGCGTTCACACACCGCGATGTACCGCGCGAATGTTCCATGCCCCTATTGTGCAAGCCTCGGTGCGGGAGAAGAGGTGAGAAGGCCGCGAAGTCATGCGCAGGCTGCCAAGGGTCTGCGTAGCGTCACCCAACTGCCCTCCGGGGTGGAGCCGTGGGCCTGCGTCCGCACACCGTGTGTGCGGGCGCATTCTTGCTGACATGTGCTGTGGCCAGCGCCTGGCCTTGCGGCGTGAGGAGGTCTGCGGAAGAACTCGTGTTGAGGCAGAAGGGCGTCCTGATCGACACGGCCTGGTTGGTAACGACGCTTGTCGGTCCGCAAGTAACTGTGTCCGCACCACGGCCAGAGCACCGGAGAGGCCGAGTATCGTGAGTGCTCGTGGACGGTTTCCGGCTTGCAGGCGCTCTCGCCGACCTCGGCCTTAGTTGCGCATGCAGCCATTGTTGGTTGTGGCTGCTTACCAGGGGTTGTCTGATGGACTGCCCGCGTCATCTGAGCATGCGCACAGTGCACCGCAGGCTGCAGCTGATGTGTACTGAACGGTTGCGACGGCATAACTCAGGCAAAACGCCACACGTCCTTGAGTCCAGGGCAAGCGCTGCGGGGAGGTATGTTGTTGTCGACGTTTGTTCTGACCCCGGTGCTAACTTTTCCACCGTTGTCGGACTCTTGGTCCGCAACTGCGTCGAAGGCGAGGAGAGGCGTGGTGATCACCTCGGAATGGTCAAAAGGTCCCGTATCATGGTCCGAAGCCAGCGGGTCCTCGAGCCGGCCCGACAAGAACCCGCAGATCAGGTTTAGGACAGACAAGGGAACTTGTTCTTCCAGATAAGTACCAACTTCAAGGAGTTTGGGCCCTACGACGACTTGTTTGTTGTGAAACGTGCGGAAGCTGACTTCTCACGCCGAGCATGCTGAGACAAACGTTGCTACCTCCGGCATCAAGCAAATACGGTGAGTGATATAACGCCTTTCAGCCTTGCATATGTATCGGAATCTCATCACGGGACTGTCGCAGAAGCACGACACCAGATGCTTTGCAACGGCTATTCTGCTTAGCGGTGCGCCCAGAAGCTCTTGACTGCGACGGCAGTTGGTCTGGCATGGTCCATACTCAACGCCCACGCCATAAAAGGGCGTTGTTTCTCCCAGGCTATCCCGTGTTGGCCGCAGTCCCTAGCGCAGCAGCATCACGACATGTTGTGCTGTAATCAAGGGCTGCTAGGGCCAAACTCGTGCTGCCGACGCGCTCCTTCCATCGGAGGCCACCAAGGACGGAGGTGGCAGATGGCGGCTGATTGTAACGGTATTCTATGGGGCACTCGGGGGTCGCAGGACGGCGATCTTGTGAAGACATTGATTTGGACACAATCATCCGCCCAAGGCGTTTGGCTGAGCATCATGCTGGAGCGCCGTCGCGCTCTGTCCGCGTTCCTGAGGATCACTCTCACCATACATAGTCTCAACTCTGGGGTTGGCGCGTATTGTTTAGCCCGGCGCCCACAACATATCGCGACGAGTCCGAGCGCGTTCCGCAGGACGGCGTGAGATGAAACACGGTGCCGGTAAGTGGAAGGATCATCCTCCTTGTTCGTTGTGCTCAACCTGTTGCTCAAAAACTGTTGTTCTGGGAACGATGAACACCAAAGGTACCCTGCAAGGATGCTCCAGCGCAACCGCAAGGTACAGTGTACACAAGCTTCATCAAGCATATTCAAATGACCCGTCTCAGGCTGTCTCGATAGCTGGCGAGCGTGCTTATTTGGCCCTCCGCGCTGCTGTGCATTCCGAAACCCGCGGACGGGGTGAAGTGCGGAAACCGTCGGTGACGGTGACTGGTGAGCAAATCGAACACTGGCGACAAACAACTTGACATTGTCGGCGCCCCTTGCAGCTTCAGATCGCATCTTGGAGAGTCCATCCCACCGCCGGGAGTTTGGAGTCTGGACTACATAGAATGATTGAACAAGCTGAGTGCTGAAGTCACTATCCTTGTCGTCTTCTACTCGAGTGTTTATGTCTGCAGAGATATTTGAGTCAACAAGAGCGCTTTCATCGCCCGCCTAGCTCAATCGGATAGAGCGTCAGACTCTTACTAGCAGGTTTGGGCGATCTGAAGGCTGCGAGTTCGACCCTCGCGGTGGGCTAGCGTTTTTGCTCCCTCCATCCTATCCGTTTGATATGTTATATTTAAAAGCCAACATACGAGGGTAGATGCGATCAAATTCGACCATGCAGAAAGTCCAAAGCACTACAGTAGCACCGGCATTCTATGTAGCAGCGCCTCCGCCTCCCAACCCGCCACAAATTCATATACAGAAGATCTAGACCAGAGGAAGCAGATAATGGGCGGATATACGGGAAAGGAGACCTGAAGGAGACTCACAGAGATTCAGAATACAGTATTGCCATTGGGAGGCCTGTTCTCCCCTCGCCGGAAGACGCTCTAGCGCTCGCGCTGTCGATTTCAGCAGTTGCCTTAGATAGACCATGCAAAAAGTTCGTTTCTTGTAACTGTGACTCAGGCGGTCAAGTCCTTGGAACAGCAGTGCCTCCAGACAGCCATGAGCAAATCCGCACTAATCGATAGCAACCTTACCGACCTGCAGCTACTGTCGAAGGGCAAGGTTCGAGACATCTACGCTACTTCCGACCCGAACCTCCTCCTCTTCGTCGCGTCGGATCGCATTTCCGCATACGACGTAATCCTCCGCAACGTGCGTGCATCTTCTCATGGTGGATGTTTCAATGCACTGATGAGCATTGCGGCGTGGCTATGCCGTTACAATTTGCGATGCAAAACTCAGGGCGTACCGGACAAGGGCAAAGTCCTGACAAAAATATCTTTGTTCTGGTTTGAGAAGCTCAAGCATGTAATCCCGACACACTTCGTGACCGCGGATGTCGATAAAATGCCCCAAGAAGTTCGGAAGTACAAGCATGTCCTCGAGGACCGTGCGATGCTCGTGAGGAAGGCCAAGGTTATTCCACTCGAGGCCATCGTCCGTGGTTATATCACCGGTAAGGCGCCGAAACCGCCAATATTATACATCTCCTGAAGTATTTCTTCGTACAGGTTCTGGATGGTCGGAATACAAGAAGACCGGCACTGTCCACGGTATACCCTTGCCAGAGGGCCTGGTAGAGTCACAGAAGCTCCCGGAGCCCCTGTTTACGCCTTCTACGAAGGCCGAGCAAGGCGAGCACGACGAGAACATCTCGCCTGAGAAAGGTCCGTTGGTGACCACAACGATGTCTCTGTCGGTCGCTAACTTCTAACCTGTAGCCGCTTCTATCATCGGAGCGGAACTCTGCGCCAAGGTCGAGAAGGTCGCGCTCCAGCTTTACAAGGAAGCGGCCGACTACGCCCTCACGAAGGGCCTCATCCTCGCCGACACGAAATTCGAGTTCGGGCTCGTGCCGTCCTCGTCGGGAGAGGGAGAGGAGCTTATCCTCGTGGATGAGGCTCTCACGCCGGACTCGTCGCGTTACTGGCCCGCAGCGGAGTACAAGCCGGGCGGGTCGCAGCCCAGCTTCGACAAGCAGTATCTGCGCGATTGGCTCACGAAGACGGGCTTCAGGAAGGGTCTAGAGAGCGGGCCAAAGGGGAAAGAAGGAGAGGGCTGGGTCATGGATGACAGCGTCATTGAGGGGACGAGGAAGCGTTACCTGGAGGCTTTGGAGATGCTCACCGGCGGAGGGCTGTAATTATCTTGTTTGAGAGTTTCGTCGTGCTTCGATGAACGGGGAAGACAGGTATAGACAGAAACAAGCATGTTGTAGTGTATACATGTACGATGTAACAAGGGGGCAATCGTCCTTGAGTGCGAGCTGCGAGCAGATGCGTGATGTAGTACGGATGTCATGTAGGATCGTGAGTATAGGTGCCAAATACTGAACACGAGATGGCCAGTGAGAGGGGCCAAATAAGATAGCGGTAGATATGATCACTTGTGTACGACCTGCGAAGCGAACTTGCTCCTCGCACGGACGGCCGGACCCTTCCAGTATAGTACCTAGTACATCGGACTGAGACACGGCGAACAAACATGGGAGGTTAAGTGGTGACTCACGAAAGGAATAGGTATCATGAGAGTGGCGATGCATGCGAACAACGTGTTGCCCCAATGATAGGTTAACTTGGCGAACAGTTGCTCGCTAAAGAGTGGAAAGATGGCCCCCATAAGATTGCCTGCCGACATCAATGAGCACAGGGAAGCAACACGACACAGTCGTCGGAGACTTACGAGAAAGACTCTGTCCAGCGAGTGCAGACGAGGCGAAGATGCCGTAGCTGCGGAAATTCCCTGGTCAGTTCCTCTGCAACGAGTGAGATATGTACCTGTGCACGAACTGACCAATCAGCCAGGTACGTGAACACTGCGACGTAGATGTTGAAGAGAGATGTCATGATAACCTGGGGAGCGAGCAGTATCGGCGTCGATGAGTCGTCCAAGCGGAAGAGGGTATACGCACGAAGATACCCATGGCCATGCCTATCCACGGCACGGATTGGAACGTGCACCACGCATATATGAACATCCCTGCCGGGAACAGGATCGCTGCAAGGCACGCGCTGAACAACCGTGCTTCTGGTCCTTTGGTCGGGTGATATTTGCTAGCACAGTAGTGGGCAACCGGTGAGAACCAAAGGAAGTCACAGGCAGAGGGACGGGTCATACGCATATAGCCTCTCTTGATAAATCTGGATCGCTTCTCCGACGATACAGCCGGCGCTATTCAACTATTAGATGCAGCATATGGGTAGACGGCTGGAGTGTACTACTCACATCATGGAAGCAAACACAGTCCCTACCTCGCCCGTGCTGAAATGGTGGACGGAGCGGAAAGCAGGCCCAATTGATCTAGAATGATTCACCGTGAGTTTGCAACGGAGGGCTCGGATTCCAATGCTTACTCCACGAGGACATATAGGATGCCCCAGGCGAAGCCAGCCCATAGCTGTATAACGCAGATCAGTATATGCACTGGTGCTCATAACTCAAAGGATTGGATTGTAGACGCACGCTGAAAGCCGCGACGACCGGCTCGGTGGAGAGAAGATCTATGTGAATTCATGAGGGGTAACCAAGGAGTGTACAAAAACGTACGCACAGATCGCCCGTGTGCACGAGACGTAAATCAACGTTGCTAGGCTAGGGATCTGGTCCTCGACACGCGCACGGTAGTGCGTGTTGCCGGTCTTCTTGCGGAGCCTCTGCGCGGTTCGTTTCAAGAGGACACCCGGACGAGTCTCTCTCATGATGAGTGGGAAAGTGAGAAGGAATATGCCGTAGAAGCTGAAGACCGCGATGATGAGCTATCATGGCCAGAGCAAAAGCAATCTAAACGCACATAACATGGATGTATTGAATCCACCTCCACTGGAGATGCGGGTTCTGTTCGATCCATCCCGACGCCACGCACCCTAACCCTGGACCGGCCATGATCATGATGGCGAAGACTGACATCGGCAGACCGCGTCTAAGAATAGGTGGGTTAACACTATCGCTACAATTTCGTCAAATCGTACCCACTCACTCTGAGGGTGCCCATATGTCCGCGATGGTACCGCCTACCATGGCAGCGGCAGTGGAGCCAAAGGCTCCGCCAAGGAACCTACCGACGATAACCGTCTGTATGTTCTGCGCCCTATCGTGGACGTCAACGAAGTCAGAGGAGATGACGGGCACAAAGCTCACAACGCGACCATTAAATGCATCAGCACAGATCCAATACCGCTCACAATGTAGACCGGCTGCCTCCCGAACTCTTCGCTGAAAGAGGTGCTCCACAGTGGGACGAGCGCGAGGGCTAGGGCCCACATAGAGAGACCCAACGTGGCTTCGAACTGAGTGGCATTCAGATCGCGGGCCATGGACGGAAACCCCAAGGCATATGCAGCTGAGGAAGACGCTAAGACCGACAGTTGGTCACTATGTCAGCCATCAGGTTCTTTGCGGTCTGAGTCGGCGTGGACATTACCTGCGATAAGGGAGAAGAAGGAGACGGCGAAGGTGATGGCCCATTTCCGAGCGTACGAGAAGTTTGCAGGGTTTCGGGGATCTCCCTCTTCAAACCCAACCTTTAGGGAGGATTAGATCAGTATCGGCATCACTTCTTTGACGGGAGGGGACGTCAGGAGCAAGGAGCAAGCTCACATAGATGGTTTCTCCGGAACTTTCCCCGAATGATTGCTCTTGCTGAAGCTTCGCCTCTCCCTTCTCTTCATCTTGGGGACGATTACGTTTGCTCAAATCTGTATCGTTCAGAGTCGCCTCCGGGGACCTCCCCGACAAGCTGAGCCGCACGTCAATCGGCTCGTGTGCGGTCCCGGTAGATCGTCTGGCATGACTGCCGCAGCCAGCAACGTCGACCGGAGTGGCTTCCCTTTCGACATGAGGCATCCGCATGGCAACGTCCGAGCTTGTCGATCTTTGCTGCGGAGACGGAGGGATCGGAGTCGAAGGAAGTGCAGAGGTCCTATGAGGAACTCGGGCCAGTGCGCACCAGTGGGTCAGGGCAGAGAGCAAACCACGACCTTGCACCAGAGGACACCTCCACTTCTATACCCCGAGGCAAGAGCAGTGCTCCTCTACGGCATCCTGTGGGAGAGCGGACGGTCATCGATGCTAGGTCAATCACTTCCGAAAGCGCATTGACCTCCAATACGTTTACTTACGGGTGAATGGGCGCCTGTGTCGCGCATACAAGCTTCGGGCATACACTGGGCACGCCCCGTCTCGCCTCCACACGCTTCTCTTCTCCCGTCTTCACTCTCCTGGCAGCGAATATGCCAGAGGAGAGTCTGTCGTGTCCTTTCCTGGCATGTAGAATGAGACTGACCCCTACGCGTCACGGTTAAATCCTCGGACTTACTTTACGGCCCAGTAATCGCGACCGTCGCACGCACACGCTTCTCTGCGTATGCGCAGTGATGGTAGCTCCTGTCGGGCGGTCCGAGGGGCGCCGTGCGCTCTACAGCTATGGACGTTTCAGTAGGTGGTCGGCGCAGTGAGAGTATGCTCCTCTTCAAGTCCATCTCCGAGGTCCATGTCGGGGGTCCCGGTTCACCAAGGCGTCGTCATCGGGTTCGGATGGCAAGACATTGAGGGGAACGCGGGGTTGTTCTTGTGGTCATCTCCTA